GACTTTGCTCCGAGGTGTTAATCACAATGTCAGTTCCCCGTGTCGTTGTCTTTTCGTTAACAATATACTGGCCCAACTTGGTCCGAGCTTCTGTGGGCAGTACATTGTCACGACCACTAATGTGGCGCCCTCACTCTGTGAAAATATATAATCGTACTATTTGGACCTGGCTGTTTCCACAGTGAGCTGGCATACAAGTATAATTCCATATAATTAATTCACTGCTATTTACTATATGGGGCCACCATCATGAATATTGGTTCGAATATATAACAAAGATACATTTCAAGCCATACTGTAGACTTGTTGGTGAAATTTTAGTAAATCGTGTTTTTTTTTATATTGAATATTACCAGCACAATCAACTTGACCTTTTCAGACATTATGATACCGTTATTTTGAGTAACTGAAGATACATCTCTAATAACACTCTTCTAATATGGGTTCTTCCAGTCGCGATGTGTTCAAACAGGGCCCCCAACGGTTTGCCCGTTTGTATTGGGCCGCTATCAGTCTTAGAGGCGTTACTCGGGTAAACTAGTAAATCGTATGTACAGTATATAATAATAGCAATGAGTTTGGATGTAACAATTATATATATATATATATATATATATATATATATATGTCACACGCAACGTAATATTACCGTAATTGGTATAGTACAGGTGTGATGGTTCAAATACCAAAATGGCAACAGTAACAGAAAGACTTCCCTGGCGGCGATGATAAAATACGAACACGGAGCCAACAGATGAGGTTTCAACTGGTACTGGTATTATTATACTCTGCAAACACCAAGTACAATAACGCGGTAAAACTCCACTACTCCAATAACTAGATACTTAAACTCCAAACAATTCAACGAGATCTCCGATCTGATCTCAGTGCTGAACAATCCCCTATATATACCCCCACTGTCTATAAATAGACCATTACATCAGCATACATAATGAGTCTGGAACTTACTACAAATTTCTAGAATGTTCCATTACCTTCTATTGCCTCCTACAGTGTTCTATTACCTATTCAACCAGATTCTAAAAAAATCTAGAATATTCCACCCAGACACGAAAGTGGTAAATAAGTCGTATGCGACAATATATA